ACTCCGTTGATTTGCGCTTCCTTCGCAAACCCTGCGGTGTCTCGCTGAGCAAGGCATGGATCAGGTTCTTCAAAGTGTTCATCTTCGGATCACTCGACCTGACATGGCGTGGCTTGGTTTGAACAGGGAAACGGATTGTGGATGGCTGGACGAGGGCCATGGTTGCGCATGTTTGAAGCATTTGAGCATGCGTTGAAACTTTCAACCCGCCTGTTCTTTGGGTTTCTTTGCGCCCTTCGAAGAGCATACTGGAGGAGCCCTCTCTGAAGGTTGGCTTCTGTTGCAGCCCATGCCTGACCAACATGACATGAACATGAACGCCATAATCCTAGACGCCTTTACAGCCAAGAGAAAACGTTAACATTAAGGGGGATCTAATCGGCCTCCACAACTGAAGTCGAGGCATCCTCACCCAGCAAGTGATGTTCTTGGGCAACTACCCCCCAAGGCAGATTCCACGTAGCTCGCCGGTGGGACAGACGCCCCGATCTTCGACAGAAGCTTGATGAGAAAATCGAAGTTGCTGTCATCCTTGACCTGTGGCGGCAAAAGATGCATTCTATCATGGCTCATGACTTCTTGTTGCAAAATCTTTGCAAGTTACATTAGACTGGGCCACCAGGCATCCAATGCATTGAAGGCATTGCCCGATGAGCACAGGTTCACAAACGAGAAGATGGCCGGAGCCTGGATTAGGGGAACTATTGACACCAGTTTTGAGGGCAAGCGTTCCTGATCACTTTCAGCCAAAATCATATTGGACTGCGCTCAAAAAGCCCTACTCAAAAAATAGATAAACGTAAACTTTTAAGGTTGGAGATCTCGTTTTTAAGTCTTCGTTTAGAAGCGGGCCCCCAGCAGACTATGGTGATACAGCAAGGCAGCGCTAGATCATAGCAGGATGAGCAAGCAGGAAAAAGACACAGAGAGCAGCAAAAAGAAGAAGCAAGACAAGACAAATAAAAACAAAACAGAAGAAGAAGAAGAATGCACAACCAAGAAGAAGAAGACAAGCAAGCAGGAAAAGTAAGAATCTGACAGGATCAAGAAATCGACGGAGATTTTTGCGCTAGGCTGGCGCTAGATCCGTGCTAGCACCGCGCTAGACGACGGTCCATTTCTTGACCATTTGCCCATATCCAACATCCAAATCTTTTGAGTCAGCTTTTACATCCTATGTCGTCCTGAAGATTTCTGAGAACAAAAATGGGCAAGACCAGCAGCAGCAGTAGCAGCAACAACAGCTCCAGCATGCTCCAGCAGCTCAACAGGCCCCTGAAAAGGTTCGCGCTAGACACCTCTCACAGTTTTTGCAGTTGACATGCCTTCATGCTTAACATCCCTGTAGTTGGAGTGTGGTTGGAGTTTAAAGGAGATTTAGAAGCGGGCCCCCCATGGAATTGCGATGCGTGCACCATTTTGGGAAAAGACGTTTTGGAAACCAACCAATATTGCAAGGATGGGCTGTGTTTAACCCAAGTCTCGCCTTATTCCTCTCCAGGGCATGTGCCACCATGTTGGCCGGGACCCCTTTGCTCTTGGCCAAAGTGTGGAACCTGTTCTGCTTGTAGTCGTTAAGGTTGAGATAGTCGTTGTAGAAGCCCTGACCCGAAAAAACGATGGAATTTGGGGGAATCACCAACATGCGCAGTACATATGTGAAATAGGGAGACCTCTTAAAAACCCCTGGGAACATGGACAATAGACTAAAACCCATTGGCTAGCGGGTGTCTCCCTATAAAAATGCACACCCATATGCTGCAAGAGTTTCGTACAAGAGAATCTTTGCCCCAACCTTCAAGGTCTCAACCCACATCTCATCAGGCTTGCGGCGTGGCATGGCAAACTCCGGGAGCCGGCCCCACTGTCAGAAAAAGGCCGCTGCAGGTGGGTACAAAACAACTCCCAGGACAAAAGGTACCAGTAGGCAATCCCCAAGACAATTGCACATGCTTTATCATGGAGGTCTATTTCCCAAAGCCCAACTGGGCTCAATCAAGCTAAACCTTTGATAGGCAACCGGATCCACTTACATGCTTGACAGCTCCCTCATTAATGAAGCCAGCTCCACCATCAGATTCACGTCTGGCACCAAATAGATCTTTGTGCAGCTGATCTTCAAAAGTTGCCAGCTGCTGCTTTTTGATTGCACGCTGCATGGCAAGTGCATCGCCCCTAAAAAAAAAAATCAGGCTCAGGCCTGAATAGGTTGCCAACTGTGGAACAGGTGACAGGTTGAAGTGTCCAACTGGAATGTTCCACCACCCAAAAGAACATATATGTGAAGAGATGGGAAAAGGGGCATGTATTGCCACCAGGTAGGTGGACGGATCCATGACTTAAATGGCTGCAGAAACAGTGGGAAATGATCATCGATGAGGTCGGGACCATAAGAAACAAATGGGGCCAAAGGATCACGGATGTTAACTATATGTTGACGTTCCTTTTGAGGTCCGGGACCTCAAAAAGTACATGGTTCAAGCATTGCCGAGTGTGTACTTTTCAGGTCCTGTTTCCTCAGCAATTCCGAGGACCCTACTTTTTCGGGTCCTGGACCGACAGGGTTGTTCAAAAAGCAACCGTAACTGCCCACCTATGTCCGTCCACCATGACACGCCGCGTTTACATCAGCAGGTTTTTCCTTCTCCGAATGGCACGGACTCACGCAAACGCGCTTGCCACCGAGATCGCGCAAAACCGCATGGCACAGCGACATCACCTTTCGAAAGCATTGGTTGTTAGTCTAATAAAGACTAAGTGTTCAAATCGAGGTTTTTGTAGGGGAAAAGGAAGGCGATCTGGAGGTTTATTGAAAGTGTTACGAGTTTATAGAGAATTTTATATTTAAAAAAAACATGGATGATTTTTTGTTTTGAAGCTCTTCCCAGGTGACCCTATTTTGGACCCCCCCGATTTCAGGGACCACTTACTTAAAACAAATGCGACCGAGTTTCTCTTCTTAGGGGGGGGCGTGTTTTTTTAATAGGTGGATGGGATTACTGTGATAATAAAATGTTTTTGTATGGAAGTCTTCTGGCCCAGCATGGTGCAGGGAGCTATGAAGCATTTTGGGATAGCCATTTCTTCTCTGATCTCACTCTTAGAAACAGTCAAAAAATGCTTTGGCTTTGCCAGGCATGAAGCAAACTGATTGAAGTAAAGTTCTGAGCCCTGAAAACAGCAAACCTGGGTCGGAGAAAGCGAAAGCTAAAGGGAGGCAACAACTATGGACCTGACCTCACGATTCTGGGAATCGATTCTCATGAGGAGAAGTGACCGTTGTGATCTTATGGCCACGGGCAAACCAATCTCCGTGACCTCTTTGGATTGTGGATCATGGCTGAAGCAGCTTGATGTGACTGAACTTCATAGATTTGGCCAGCGACGACCAAATCAAGAGCCTGGGCTGTTGTAAGGAAAAAAACCTGACCAGACCAAGCATTGCTGACCAATGAAGAACTTTGTGGGCCGTGGGCGTCATCTTGCACTCCCGCAGGGCCCCCCTCCAAAGGGAACCACCTTTGCTTGAAGCTTCAAAGGTAAGCTATCAAAGAAGTCCAAATGGCGCAAGAACCTAGCACAAAAAGTCTGATAAATCGATCAAACACGGCACCAAACCGCCACGTGGTGACTGGCTCGCTTGTGGCCACTGGAAGAGATAGACTCAGCAGCCTCACAACAGGAGGGCCCTGTCAACAAATCCTTGGTCCTAGAACCCGTCTGCCATGCATCAAATTTGACTCGCCTTTTGCGCGTGGCCACACAAAAAAACTATGCTGAACACACTCCAAGCGGCGCACCCACATTGCCAAATACAATACATTGTGTTGTAAGAAGGCTCTTTCATCGCACTCCCGCAGCCGCCAATCTGACGCACGGTAGGCATCATCAGGCAACACCATGGCACAATCTGGTCCCAAATCAAGGCCCTTCAGTCTTTTGGCATGGACATCGGCCTGTGTAGCGTGTTCCAGTGTTGGTTCCCTCAAACTCGACACCATGCATTCGTGCATGTTCATCATTGACCAAAAGGTGGCTCGTCTCAAGCTGGAACTGTTTTCCAAAAGAACCGAATTTGCAGGAAAAATGATGGTCGAACCAAACATCCTTCGACATTCATAAACACAGAGCAGGAAAGAAACAACGCCAATCATCGGCGTTTTCTACGGGCTTCTCATGACCAAAAGCAGGTGACATGCGAACTAGTCTATCGGTCTATCGGTCTGGGCAAACATGTTGGGTGACATGTGGACGTATCTATGGGAGTCGTTCTAAACCCCTGTCCTTCTAAACCCCTGGCATAGGATTAGGACCAAAAAATTAACCGCCGCAGTAGTATTAGTGGTAATCACTCCAGATCAAAACTTCTTGTGGAGGTAGGTTTAGTAGCAGTAGTTGTTGT